AAAAAAACCCCCCCCCCCCCCCCCAAAATTCTCTGATAAAACCCCCAAAATCTGTAATTAAAATTAAAGGCCCCCCACAGCCCTCCCCGGACCTCCATACATGGTTTCCCTTAAGGGCCATAGTGCCGCTCACGGTCTATGTGCAGCTGGTCAGGCACTCCATATCTCTCACCAACACCTCCCTGCTCCTGGCCAGTGTCCGGCTAGCTATGCAAGGACTGCAAGTGGTGCTATGGGCTCTTAAGGGAAGGATGGAGGCACTGAGCCTGGTCAGGCCGATAGCGCTGCTGCGGTCCATGTGCAGCCAATCGGGCACTCCGTGTCATTTACCAACACCTCCCCACTCCCTCAGCCAGCTCAGCCTCCAGCCATCTTCCCCCCAGCCCTGCCCCACAACACCCCCAGCTCCCTGCAAGCCCCACTTACCTAACATTACAGGCTCCAGAAGGAAAGTGAGCTATAGGTAAGCCTTGGGACTGACTAAAAGCCTCAGATCTCACCCTTCCTCCCCTCAGGGCAGGGCTGGGGGTTTCCCAACCCTTTTGCAATCAGCTCTTGCAGACTGGAACTGTGCCAGTCTGCAGAGCTCTTTGCAAGTGGGAAACCCACAGGTTTCTCTGCTAAAAGGGAAAATTGCATTTTCTCTGATAAAGATGGGAAATCTGTGGTTTTCTCCATGTTCCCATGGGAAACTGAAAACCTGGATCCCTGCTGATCAGGTTCAATCTAGAATCCCAAAAGAACATTTTTAGAGAGAAATGGTATAGATGCTTCGCAAACTAACTCAAGAAATGCAAGAGCAAGTCATGGAAGCGCCTTTCCCAGGTCTGCAATTCAAACAGTAGGTGGCTTTCCCCTCCCGGGAGTAATTTATCATAAGCTTCCTTTTCTGCATCCAGTATCTCACCTACCTTCCTGAAGACAGAGCCACATCTTTCAGAGCCATCAGCAGACTCTCCCCTTCCACATAAGCAAAAGATAAATTGATGCAGCCTGTAGTTAAGAAAATGGTGTCAGCTGAACTCAAGGACAATCCTGTCCCACGCAGGGAGGCTTATTTGGGGCTTGCAGTGTGGGGATGTGTGACAGGATTGTGTTCCAGGGGCAGCCATGATCCCCCCCCAGGTGGCCACGCAGTTTCTGCCCTGACTCCAACTCTAGGGTCTCCCACCTTTACTCACCCACCATGCCTTTGATGTGAAGATTCATTAGGAGAGAGGCTGCCTGCAGGTCTTAGAGCAAGCCTGTCCTCATTCCAGGATTGGGTTTCAGCCTTCTCAGCTTCTGCCCTTTTCCTCTTGCTGACCCCTCTAGCTCTAATTCACTGACCAAACCAAGTTTTGGGCTTCTCAGCTTCTTGTCTTGCCTTCCAAGGCCTTTGTCTCTGGGCCCTCTGACCTCAGTCTCCATCATTCTCAAGTGCTCGGTTCCCTGGCCTCAAGCTTTGCCCTTCTCAGGCTCAGGCCCTTCTGGCCCCCAATCCAAGTCCGGTCCTTCCTAGGCTTTTGGGCCCACTGGCCCCCAGTCTGTGCCTCTTTGGCATTAACAGAAAAATTTTCCCTCTTGGACTCTATAGAATTGCACCTCTGAGCGTGCACCACCTCCCCACCCCCTGCAGGCACTATAAGATCACCCCTCTCGGGTGCTACAAGATCACCCCTCCGGGCATTCAAGGATCAGTAGCACCCCCTCTTCACCCCCCAGCTGCTGTGGGACCTCCAGGCCACCCCTCACACCACCTTGTCTTCCTTTCAGTATCTAGTCCCCCACGGGCACCAGACCCTCTTAGTCCCCCCAGGCAACAGACAAAGCTGCAGGTACCTAGTCCCCCCTACATGCCAGACCCTTCTGGTCTGCCCCCAGGCACCAAGTCAAACAGAAATCAAAACACAAGCCCTGGCTATAACAAAGTCCTACCCCAATCCTGGGTCTATAAGCATGGCTAGGCCTCAGCTTCTTCTCATGCTGTCTCCATGCCTGGCCTGCTCCCAGTATGGCTCACGGCCACAAGTACCCCTGCAGAGCTCTTCCCTATTCAGGTTCCAGGCCAGCCTGCATTGCCTGTCTCTGGGGCTGCCTTATCTCTCTCTAGGCCTCTCCCCTTCCAGTCAGGTGACCCCTAATTATTTTCATTATCTAGTTGTCACGTCAACCCAGCTGCAGCTGTGCCCCGTCTTCCCTTTAGGGCTGTGCCTGAGCTCTTGCTCTCTTGAAGTGACCAAGAGCCCCAGGCTCTCTGCTGGGTGGGGAGGGGGTCCTCTACTATATAGCACTGACCCAATCTTCACAGGATTCCTTGCATACAGATGTAGATTCAGTACAGTGCATGCAGAAGCTCAAGGGCCTGCATATCTTTCAGATTTCTTCTGAGGAGCACAAAAGGCTGAGGAATCCTGGTAGCATTTGTGGAACAACTCCTTGGACTGTGAGAGCATTTATCTTCCCTTTTCTAACTGCAGTGATTTCCCTAGTGTATGTATATTTCAGTCATTTGGTCTGAATCTGTAAAACAGGATATAGATCCAAGAGATTTGGGTCTAGGACTCAGCAGCTCACTAGACCTGACACCTTTACTTGCTGAAGTGACTTGACGTTCCTATAGTAGTTTCTGCTTAATAAGAGCACATAACCTCTCTCTGCTTTTGGTTATTTCTTCTGGTATTAAATGCAACACAAATCCCGGCTCCTCACATTTTACATCAATCTTATCTTGCCACCAAATTTTCAAATTGAAATAGATTTTTATATTGATAGGTTGTAACTGCACCTGGGAAACTGGTAGGAAGCATCCAATTTTCCCTTAACAGGATAAAAGGTAGCAAGAGCTTTGGCAACTATGAAAGGAGAGATGTTCCGGGGATTTAGCTCTAAGGACACGAACCCTTTTCAATGCAGGGCTTGAAATACAAATTCCTATTTCAATAACCTTTAACAAGCAGCCAGCCACCTCACATATTCACCAGTGCTTCCAGAGAAATAACATTATTGTTAAAATGAGCAGCAGTGAAATTGAAAATGAATGGGGCATTTTACAGATCTCAGACCTAAAGTATAAGACCGTCTACAATCTGAGGAAGATGTTCCAGCACTGACCATATTATATTACTCCTAGAAAGTTTTCTGCACAACCACTAGGGACAGATGCTTTTAAAAAAGAAACAAAATGAAAAATAAAGCAGTCTGCAAGTATTGGTAGATTCTATAACTCTAGAAAATATCAGATTTCTGCTACTTTTACCTGGATAGCGATGTTCTGGATCTCCATTCATAACCACATCAGGAATTTCTTTCATTATTTTTGTAACTAGTTGGTTTGCCAATAAAGAGATTCGTTTATGGTCATACTAATAAAAGAAACAGGAAGAGAGATCAGTATATGGCAAGTGGACACAACTTTCACTCTTTTACGTATTGCACAGAGTCACCAGCCATTTGAGACTAATTTTTTTAATAAGTCTGGCTCAGGGCTTATCATCATATGCAGTGCAATTTTAATGCAGCTACTAGTATGTGCAGCTTCCAGTATATGAACTAGCTCATGCAGAGTGGGCACAGCATCTCAGCAGTGCTTTTTTGCACCTACAAGCATATCCTTTTTGTTGCCATACAGTCTTCTTGTATTCCCCTTTGATTTACAAAATACTGCATGTGGGAAAAGAGCAAAGAGACATATCATCTAAGTATAGCAAACACATTAAGTAGTATTTTACTAACTTGGAACAAAAACCTCAATTGAGATTAATAACCCAACAGCACTGGTGTGACTTAAGCCTCAGTGGGCGCATCTACACGTTCATTAAAATGTGCAGTAGTTACTACACATTTAATATAGTACTTGTATAATTAAGTACTAAATAAATGCACAACTGGAGTTACTGTGCAACAGCGCCAGCGAATGCCTTTTTAGTGATGCTACTGCGGAGCAGCGCATTAGCACTGTCCATGCTATGATGCTGTACTGTGCAATATTATTAAGCTACTGCACAGTTAGCGTCTCATGTAGATGCACCCAGTGAGTTGAGCTTGGATGCAATCAGGATTTTTTTTTTTTGAGGGGCAAACTAAATACTCTGCTATTTTGAATAGGCCATGGCATTCATGAATGGCGATATATTTTAGAACAAGGGTGGCCAACCTGCAGCACATGTCACAAGTGGCACAGGCAGCCCCTGCAAGAGGCATGCAGATCAGAGAGGAGACAGGCAGCACAGCAGCAGATAGGGCAGGAAGCAGGGCAGCAGATTGGGAAGAGAAAGGGGACTGGAGTGGCACTCAGGGAGGATGTGAGGTTAATGGGTAACACCTGCCAAAAAGGTCAGCCCCCACTGTTTTAGTGCATGTATAAATTTTTTCGAAGTAAGTCATTTAAGTTCTACTGACTTTCTATGAAACTGAGCTTCTACATCACTTTTGAAACCAGGATTTAGGTGCATTTGAAAATTTTGCCCATATGTCTACTTTGTACTGTTTATGTAATATAAAAACTGAACTGTTTATGCATAAACAATAGAGGTACACCAATACATCGGTCTGACATCGGATTGGCACCAATATAAAGTAAATTGATTGCATCAGAAATCGGCCTGATGTGACTGTGACATGATTTGGCAGATAAATGCCCATGTATATGTGCAGCCACAGCGCAGCATGCAGATAGCAAGGAGGTACAGCCCAGCAGCTTGTAAGTCTGTTGTAGTAGAAGGAAAGGGGCGTGGAGGCAGATCAACACCCCCTGGCGGTGAGGTAGGGAGTGGGGCAGGAGCTGGGGTTGCTGCTGCCCAGCCAGGGTGGGATGGGCACAGGATGGAGCTGTGGCTCACCCTGGGCACATGGGACAGGGGTGGGGGGTGGCTCCTGCTGCTGTGCATGCCCCAGGAGGGCATGGGAGGGGAGAGAGGGGGATCTGTGCCCCCAGATCTACGCTGGGGGGTGGGATTGGCTACAGCTGACGGCTGAGGCTGCACTGGGCTCTTCCCACACATGAGGGCTGTGCTCAGGGCTGCGGGGCAACGCTCAGGGCTGTGCTCCTGGCATGTGGGGGCTGTGCTTGGGGTGGATGGTGGCAGTGCTGGGAGAGGGGTTATGAGGGGGCTGTGGCAAAATTTGGGGTGGCTGCAGCCCCCTCCATAACCCCCATCCCAGCACCACCACTGTCCACCCCAAGCACAGCCCCAGCCCAACCCCCTCCCCACGCACTGGGAAGACTGCACTCCGGCTCCAGGACCAGCCTGCAGCTGCAGCCCTTCCCCTGTGCGTATCTGGGGACCCGCCCTCACCCCTCCGTGCCCTCCTGAAGTGAACACAGCAGCAGGAGCCACCCCACCATACCTCCCAGAGGAGCCGTGGCTCTGTCCAGTGCTCCAACCTGCCCCAGCTGGGCACTCCCTACTCCAGCCCCATTCCTCCCTCACTGTGGTGGGCACTGATCTGCGCCCCCAAACTTTTCTCCCCGCTTCCTCTCCCCATCCACCATAACAGACTTACCAGCTGCATGCATCTGTATCAGAAATCAGATCAGTATTGGCTGATATGCCTCCTTAAAAATCAGCTATTGGTCTCAGCCCTCAAAATCTCTATTGGTGCACCCCTAATAAACAAAGAGCCATTGCATACAGTCATATGCACACTGTGACAGAGACCAGTCATAATGTCGGTCCGCCCACCTGTCTAGGGCAGTCTGCCCTGACTTGTCTGTCTCGCCTTGATGTATTGGAAAAAACAAACAGATGGAAAATGCAGGAGGCTGCCTATTTAATGCCCTGATGCCAAGGGCCTAATACATGGCTCCGACCTCCCCTTTACCATGACTTGTGGATGGCATCCAGAAATTACTTCCAACTTCCCCAGCCCCGTTGCTGGGCAGCATTCAGTCACTGGCCCAAACTTGGCCTCAGGCATCCTTAGGCATACCTAGGCCCAGCCTCTGACCCAACTTGGCCTCACGTGTCCTTAGACATAGCTGGGCCATATGCCCCTACTCTGAGGCCTCTACTTGTGCCACCTCTCTAGGTTCTTTGCCTCTCATTAGGCTCCTTGCCCCTCACACTTTGCCCCCTCACTGGGGCCACTACTCCACCCTCTCATTGTGCCTTTGGGCTTTGCGCCCCTTGGGCATCAGGTGTCTGTTGACATGCTTGGACTCCATTCTTGGCCTTCAGCCCACTCAGGCCTCAGGTGTCTGCTGACATACCTGGACCCCTACCTCAGGCTATGGCCCACTTAAGCCTCAGGTGTCTGTCAATGTACCTGGACCTCCCTCTTGGCCTCTCTTATTCAGGCCTCTCCACTAGGCCTCACTCTTATTCAGGCATTGGGCCTTGGGCCCTCCTGGCCCGTGTTGCCACCCAAGGCTCGCTTTCTCAGGCCCTGGGCCGCAGGCCCTCCTGGCCCCAGTGTTGTTGCCCAAGCCTGATGCTTTTCTTTGAGGGTGTGCTCCCCTAGCCTTTCCCCTCCACAGGGTCACATACAAGGCAGCAGGGGCTGAGGCTTTCTGGTGCTCCATACTTGCCTTTCACTAGGGAAACACTGGTGTGGCATTTCCTGGGGACTGTCCTGCCACAGACAGCCCCACCACACCATCTAACCCCAGCAAGGTGTAGTTTTAGGTCATTCTCCAGGACTAACTGCAGGCCTACCTGCCCTGGACTTTCCTCCCCTTGCTGAGCTCCTGGATGTTTTCCCTGGGCTACTCACTCCTGGTCACTCTGTTGCACCCTCCATCTCAAAACCTGCCCTCAGTCACTGGCCCCCATCTCTTTAACTCCCTTATAAGATTCCTTCCATCAGGACGCTGGGCTTCAGCCTCCATCATTCCAGCATGCTGGCTGGTTAAACACCTATCCTCTCTTGACAGTGATGTCCCCCACATTGAGGGGACCTTCAGCCTCTTTTAGGCTCTGGCCCTGCCTCTAGGCCAGTTGAGGTGCCAATAGCTCTCCACAGCCCTGACCTGCCCCTTGCAGTGGGCCAGAGGAGGCTGTGGGTCAGGAGCGAGGGGCAGTGCTGTTGGCAGGAGCAGGGCACCAGCATATCAGGGCTGCTTAGTGCCACAAAACAGTGGGGACAGCTGCACCCATGTCTTGGTGAGCAAAAGGGAGCTCTGATTTCTGGTGATAAAAAAAACCAAAATCAAGCACCAAAATACACAGGTATTTAGAATTTATGTTATTATAATTATTGAGATACTGACAGGCTTCCATTTTGCTTTAAAACTGGAAAAAATAAAAAATATTGTATTAAATGGATACACACACACACGCACACGTACACACCTACATATAGTGGGGTTTCATTTTAATTGAGGAAAAACGCTGATGTTGGTGTTTTTAATTAGAGAATTTAGGATTTTTTTTAAATAGAGAAAACCAGGATCCCTGGTGATCAAGCAGCAGACTGCAGGGAGGTTTGGGGCTGAAGGACACCCATAAAAGGTGTAAGTACACCCTGCTTGGATCACATGCAGAAAAGCAGGAAGTAAGACAGGGTAGCACCTTAGAGACTACATGGTTCAGTGAGGCATTAACTTTTGTAGCCACAACCTACTTCATCACATGCTAGGGATGGACTGGCAACAATCTACTTTGACAGATGCTAAGAATGGACCTGTTGCCCACAAAAGTCAGTACCTCTCTGAGCCAGTTACTCTCTAAGGTACTGTACTCTGGCTTTCTGCATGTCTTCAGAGTGACACAGCTAACCACCTATATAAAAATGTATAACAGAATTGTTATACCATATACCTCCATCTCTTGCTGTGCCACTTCACATGCGGCCCCAAGGCCAACTGCTAGAGGAGTAGGTACAGTCCCAGACCGCATTCCTCTCTCCTGGCCTCCTCCGCTCTGTAAGGGTTCCAGTCTTACCCTGGGCCGACGACGAACATAAATGGCTCCAACCCCTTGAAAACAAAAGGAAGAAGATGGACATATTCAGTACATGCATAGAATTACTGCACGGGAAATTACTACAAGATACTTGACAGAAATTGCCCACTTGGCTCCATATCTAGTGAGAAGTATAATACACAAATTCTAGAAAGCTTTGACTATTAGCCTTATTCCTTGCTCCTCATGGAGAGTTCTGAGGGTCTGGAACAGAGAAGCCTTTAGGTTAGCTAGATTTTTGTTGCCTGTGCTGTTGTGGCATCATCTGCTTGGCTTGTTTATCTCTAATGTTGTCCCACCACAAGGAATTCTACTCGTGTAGCTATTATTTTCTTAAATCCATCACTTGCTCACTCATAGTTCCCTGACTTTGCAAAACAACAGTCTTCTCTGAGGTTTTCTCCCCTTCTGTTTTTATGGACAGCTCATCAGTTGCACCAAGCTCCAGTCAGCAAATCGGACAAAACACCTTTGAAAGGCTTTTTCTACACCTCAGTTTACCTTTCTGAATGAATAAATAGTCACATAGAAAAGACAGACCTTCATAACTGCAATAACAAAGGTTGCTCACTGTTTTTCTCTAGCTGGAGTGGAACCTGCCTGCCCTTCTCCCAAGATTTTTGGGACTAGATGATGTTTCCCCAAGATACATTCTTCAGCCCTCCAGAAAGTTCACACAGAGGACGATATCCTGGCAGAATTCTTGAACAGAGTTTACAAGCAGCAGCATGAACAATCTCTTAAAGACTCAATCTTGCATTGCCCATTCCACAAGTGCACACCGAGCTCTCGTCACCATCACAGAAACATCAAATGTCTCAGCTTCCGCTTAAGAAACATAACCCAGTATATTGTATTATTTGCTCTGGCTTTGGTTCAGGCACTCTACCATTTTCTTGATCAAGATATTAATTAATGAAGTCACACAGGATGGAACTGAGATGCTGCTGAAAACCTTGGAAGGTCCAAAAATGCAATGAACGTGCCAAGAATTTTTAATACGGCATAATTACTCCTAAGAAAAATGCAGGTACTGCCTGAGATCCGCTTAATTCTCTGTACCATCCGTTAAGTAACACTATACTTTCAACAGAAGAAACATTTAGGACGCTTCAACTGGGAAGCCAGTCAAGCGGGAAGTGTGTGTGGCATTCTAGAATTGGCAACAGACAGCCATACCGACTTCTCTGGTCAATAAATACTGTTGTCAGTTTTATCTAGGGTTGCAGAAGGATAAAATTTTAAGGAAACAATGTCAAGTCTCAGAATGAAGATTTCCACTGAGTAAAAAAAAATTACTTCTAAAAAGTGTTTAAAATATACAGTAAGTAAACTGCATTCTACAATAAAAGGCAGAAAATGAAAACAAAGACTGAAGCTGGAGACATCTAAGAACACCAGGTGAATATAAATCCTTCAATCACTTGTGGATGTCCTTGGTGCCAGCAACATTTGGGATGATTACAAAGAGATTATGAGGAGAACATAGAATATGAACTGCCCTACCATATTGTGTTTCTACAAAACACTTATAACAGCAGAGCCATTTCAGATCTTCTAGAAGTCTCCTTTCAAAACAGTTTAATTAGGATCTATCGCCACAAAACTAATGTTTTGGCATGTGATTTTTGTTTCACTAATCCACTCTAATCTCCACTAGGGAGAACTGGAAACATTTCCAGAAACTGTGTGTGTATGTATGATGGAAGCTGTGGAATTACAAAGAGATGTTCTAATATTAACCACTTCATCACATCACATTACCTTTTGGACCATAGATTTTATGACCACTTATGCTCATTAGATCAATTTTCATATCATTGACATCCACAGGAACTTTACCAATTGCCTGTGCAGCATCCGTGTGGAAGAACACCTTATGCGAGCGGCAAATCTGACCTGTAATAAGAACATAAAAGCAAGAAAGAAGCCAAAGCAATACTTAATGAATCTAATGCCTATGTATTTCAGATGATGTGCCTGAAGCGTAAAAAGAGTTACAGCCTGATAAAGCAGAGACAGAACCTAATTTTCAGCCTCACTCACCCTCCCTTTCCTGCTCAGGCAAAAGCTACAGTTTTAACTCTTTCACAGCTGACCTGTCAGCAGCTCTTGGCTGGTCTGCCAAAAGCTGAAACTAGCTGCTACTGAAGACTGGACTCCACAAGCGGATCTGGGATTTTGAAAAAAAAGGGTAAAAATGGTCTGCAGGGTTGGGAACTAGAAAGACAGAGAGACAAGGAGTAGCTAAATTGCAAATTATTCAGCAAAGCTCACAAAAAAAGGATAGCCTGAATCGTGGAACACCCATTTCATTAAAAAGGAGAACAGTAACACCTGTTGAGTGACAAGCAATTGTTGAGTGACAAGCATGGATCAAGTATAGTCTAATGAACCATGAAGTCAACTGGCTCCCTCAATGCTGCTTGAGTAGAAATGCCACTGCTGCTATTCTGGGCAAAAAGTCAGCTTCCCTGCTTAAGACACACACAACAATATTGGAAGTCTAATTGGGGGAAGGAAGAGGTGTGCTAATAAATACAGTATTTTACATCAACATACCTTTTCTAGCTATTAAGAAACATTAAGCAGAGGCTTTGATTTTTCAAGTCAGAAACATCTATGTCAGGTTGATGGCAGCCAATGCTTACTTACCAATGTCACAAACAGGCTGCTTTACTCCTATTTCATTATTCACAGTCATTATGGACACCAAGCTTGTGTCTGGTTGGAATGCATTCTCTAATTCCTGGTGAAAACATTCAACACAGATAGAAATTTTGACTAAAAGCACAAGCAAAACCTTTCTATTCCTTAGCTTTAGCTTTGCCAGGATGTTTTTATAAGATTTAATATTAAGTCCTTTAAGTTATCTGCAGTACAAGCGATATACTATTGGAAATGTTGGCTTAAATCTCCATTACACTTACTGACAGATGTAACATTTGAAATGTTTCAATTATGGAGTGTTTCGGCCACAGACTGACGTACAGGCCCCTGCCACACACAGAATGATAGAAAATTAGGGTGGGAAAGGACCTCAGGAGGTCACCTAGTCTACCCCCTGCTCAAAGTAGGACCATCCCCAACTAGATCATCCCAGCCAAGGCTTTGCCTAGTTGTGTCTTGAAAACCTCTAAAGATGGAGAGTACACAATCTCTCTGGGTAACCTGTTCTAGTGTTTTACTACCCTCCCAGTGAGAAAGTTTTTCCTAATATCCAACCTAATCTTTCCTTGCTGCAATTTGCTCCTTATTCTGTTATCTGCCACTACTGAAAAGAGTCTAGCTCCATTTTCTTCAGAACCACCCATCAAGTAGTTGAAGGCTGCTATTAAATTCCCTGTCTTCTTTTCTCCAAACTAAATAAGCCCAGTTCCCTCAGTCTCACCTCAGAAGTCGTGCGCCCCAGCCCCACAACCATTTTTGTTGCTCTTCACCTGACTCTCTCCAGTTTGTTCACATTCTTTCACTAGTGGGGGGCTCAAAACTGGAGACAGTACTCCAGATGTAGCCATCCTGAGGGACAGCTTCAACACTGCCACACTGGTATGTAGTGGCGGTACTCTCCAGCTAGGAGGTAAAATGGGTAGTAAAAATAAGCTACAATTGGTCATGGAAGCTAAGAACACCACCACCCAAAAAAGGTTCTATAAATACACTAGTCAGAAAAAGACGACCAAGGAAGTTGTGGGTACACTGCTAAATAGCCAAGGTAAGCTCTTAACAGAAGATGCAAAGAAGGTAGAGCTGTTCAACTTTGATAGTCCTAATGAAAAAAAGAAAAAAAAAAGATGCAACTGGCCATCCAAGAAGGATTACAGTAAAGAAAGAAACCATCAGACAACCTGATTGGTTTGAATGAATTCAGGTCACCAAGGCCTAATGAACTTTATCCTAGGGTACTGAAGAAACTGGCAGAAGAGGCATTATATTTACCAAGTTGTGCAAGACAGGCAGGGTGCTAGAAGAACTAGAAAAATGACCAAAACGGGGCCTGTCTTTAAAAAAACAAAACAAAACAAAAAAGACGACCCAGGGAATTACAGACTGGTTAGCTTCAACCCAAGACCTGTTAAATTACTGGATTATACCATACAGAGATCCATTTCTAAGCAACTTAAGAAAGAAAGACTGATCACAAGTAGGCAGCATGGATTTGCTAGAGACAAATCATGCCAAACAAATCTGATCTCCTTTGAAAAAGTAACTAGCTCAGAGGATAAAGGCAGGTGTGTCAAACTCATGTGGCTCCACAGGGCTGGATCTGGAAGCATGAGGCCAATCCACAGATCAGATCTGCGAGCACAGGGCAATGTCACCCAAGGCCAGAAATTTGGTGGTAGGGCAAGTGGTGGCAGCACTAATTGCTATGGCTCAAGGAGATACAGCAGCTACTGTTTGCCTCACTGCCAAATTTCTGACCCACTGGCAGCCCTGCAAGCCAGATGACACTGTTGCACACTCCAGCTGACATGCAAAGAGCACTTTGAGGAACTCCTGAACCATGAGACAGCCATGACAGATACCACCACCAAGTCCATCCCCCAACACCCTGAAAGGGGATCCTTCACCAATTCTCCTATTCTAGAAGTCTGGCATGCCATCAAGGAAGCCCAGAACAAGGCTACTGGACCAGATGGCATACCTACTTGATGGCTAAAAAATGGTATGTAGAGGTTTGCTTTTAGAAATTGGCTTGTAGGTAAAATAGATATTGTATTAGAACAATGGTCTAAGGCAACAGCAAGGGTTAATTGATTTCTAATAGCCTGTTTTGTCTCACAGTTTCACAGTTTCCAAACTTTATTTTCATAATAGAGATAGGCCTGGCTCCAGGGCTCAAGTGCCCACTTGCAAAAGCCTTTGGTCTTTCCAGTTTTGGGGAAACAGACCAAATTAGGAGGACACTGGAAAAACCCAAATTAGCATGTGTGCATGCAATAGATTTATGAAAATAGGACTTTGGCTGACAAGACAGAATGTGAACAGTATAGCAGCCACAGGAAGACCAATTAACGATGCCCAAAGATGAAGAGTCATCGGAAGAGAAAGAATACAAAAAGAGGAGTTTTCAAAATAAACAAGTTGGCAGTTGGCATCAGCTCCCAACTTCCAAGGTTGCTAATGTCGGACATTCAAGCAAAGAACCTCAAGCTGGCATTTACATAGCGGTTGGCTGGATCGCACGCCTTGTGTATATTCTGGGCACTGGGGAATTTGGGTAAAGTATGTTGTAATTATCTTGCTTGCTTTGCCTGCATTGTTCTTATATCCTACCACTGCGTATCAATAAAATTTGCCTATTATCAACTGGACGAGTTGTCAGTTTGAAGGTTGTGCTTGCCTGAAGCAAGGTATCGGGGCTGGGTTCTGAATCCAGTGCCAATACTGCTGAAATCTACAAGGCTGGCAGTAAGGAACTGGTACTGAGACACCACTCTTCAAATATGAAACAATGAAAAAATCCCTAGGGACCTGGGGAATGCCAACACTGTGACAACCTTCAAGAAAGGAAACTGTGTGTGGGAACTATTGAGGGATAGCTCCACAACAGGGAAGATCTTCTCCTGCATCCTCCTCAACCATCTTCTATCTCATACTGAGGAAATCCTGCCAGAATCTCAGTGTGGTTTCAGACTATCCCATGGGGCAATTAACATGATCTCTGTTGCCTGTCAAGTCCAAGAAAAATGTTGGGAACAACATCAGGGTCTGTATATGGCCTTCACTGACCTTACCAAGGCCTTTGATTCCATCAATTGCAAAGCCTTGTAGAAAGTACTGGCCAGATGTGGATGTCTTGAAAGTACATCATGATTCTGAGGTTTCTCCATGACCAGATAACTCAGACCATTCTTTGTAGCAGATCAGAAACAGATCCACTTGTCCTTGCTTGATCTCAGTTGGATGACATGTTATCACTCCAACTCCCTTCTCCATTTTTTTTGACAGTCATCCTGGTTCTTGAAGCAGAGAAGAGACAGAGAAAGGAACAGAGGAATCTCAGCATACAGTCTACCCTCCACTGCAGAAAGACCTGCAACTTCTGTGGATGGATATGTGGCTCAAGGATTGAACTCTAAATTAAGCAAAAGAAGGAAGCCATAAAAAATTAACTTGAAGGCAAACTCAAAGGCATCCCTGATTGAGTGTAACCTTCAAGATGAAGAAAGCATCTTAGCCTAGCAGGAATTATTTGAGCTTTGCTTCATTCCTAGGCAAGAGGCAATCACCAACTAAGGAAAGGGAGAAAAAAAAAGTCAGATCACTTTCTCTGTCTCTGAAAAGACTGCCAGCTTCTCTGTTACAGAAGTGACAAGAGCAACAGAAAACAACCTTGAGAAAAGAGAATGATTATATCAGAAGGGCAGATATTTCTTTACCATTCTTGATGGGCAATTGGCTAGTACAAGCATAAACACAGAATGTTTTAAATGTTTTACACT